TGGATGGATGGATGGATGAATGAATGAATGAATGAATGAAAACAGAGCAGCAGTAATACACTTTCTGCCCAAATCTGGGCTTTACCTGCCAGCAGGCTCCGTAAGCTACACTGAGTTGTCATCTGTCTTGACCCCTGAACCCAGTAACATAGATATTTATGTGGGTAAAGTTTTTTTTTTTTTTAGTTTATTTATTTGACAGAGATCACAAGTAGGCAGAGAAGTAGGCAGAGAGGGAGAGAAGTAAGCAGGCTCACTGCTGAGCAGAGAGCCGGATATGCTCCATCACAGGACCCTGGGATCATGACCCGAGCCTAAGGCAGAGGCTTTAACCCATTGAGCCACCCAGGTGCCCGGTAGAATTATTTTTAATTTCTCAATATTAGCTTCAGAAACAGGGTCCTGCAGTTCCTAGGGTATAAAAGGGGAATCTGCTTGGGATTTAAGACCAGGATATCTCCCGACAGCTTTGGAATCCAAGGGCTTTGTTAGCATAGCGGTCTTGTTGCCACAGTTGTGCAGACGTCTTGCCCTTCTACAGACTTCTGTTTCTGCCATGGAACGTCCGTGGGCAAATGGAACAGTTTCTTACCTCCGACTTTGGAATGAGGTGGCGGCTTGGAGAATCCGTGGGTTCTTCCCCATGGAACCTGTGATACACGAGGGTGTTACCTCTGAGGGGCTTAGGACTTGCTTGCAAAAGTAGTTTATGAATCAGAGTAACAGCGACTGGGAGTACTTTTCAGTTCAGCCACTGGAGGAAATGCAGCTAAACAGAAAAATGCTGGCCTAGCAATGACCTCTGCTTCCTTGTCCCAAACCGGGTAACACCCCTCCTCCCAACCATAGTGAAGGTCACAAGAGATAAGGTATATGGAAGTTAACTGCGTATTGGTAAAATCCCAGTTTTCTAGAGATGGGAGAAACCTTAAGGATGGTCTGATTCAACCCTTCATTTTACAGACCTGAGTCCTGGTGACCAGAAAGCCACAGCTTTGCCCCACATCACAGGGTAAGGGAGTGGCAGGGCTGGAGCTTGACCTTTGACCCCCCCAACATTCTTTCTGCCATCCCTAATCCTCCTTGTCAGTGGCTAGTGGTGGTATTACTATTCCTGCTTTGATGGTGTCTCGTACTTTTACTGTCATTACTAGACAATTGGTTGTGTAGCAGGGAAATCAGTTCTATTTTTAAGAAGTAGGGTTCAGATGTAAGTTCTCAATCATTTCTGTGCACTCCGCTGTATTAAATGTGGATGGGATGTGCCCAGCTCTGCTCGAGGCTTGCAGGAGACAGCAGTGAGGAAAGCAGGCAGAAATCCCCGTCTCCAGGGAGCTCATTTTACACACACGCGCGTGCACACGCGCACACACACATACCCCAAATGGTATCAGGTGTTGTGTAGAAAAATAGTGCAGGGAAAGAAGATGGGGAGTGCTGGGCTAGGGGTTGGAGGGAACGGGGATGTTGCTGTCTTGGGAAGGTCACTCAAGATAGGCCGCACTGATTGGATTCTGTTTGAGCAGTGGGGGAGCAAGCCACATGGAGCCCGTAGGGGGAAGAATTTTCAAGGTAGAAGAAACAGCAGATACTAATGCCCTGAGAATGTTCTTTGCCTCTTCAGGGAAGAGCAGATGAGCCGGTACAGAGTGGTGCAAAGGGAACAAGGGGACAAGCAGAAGGAGGGAGCGTCAGGGAACCCGGTGCAGAAAGGGTATAGATCACAAAGGGCCTTATGCGCCATTGCAAGAATTTTGACTCTGCCTCAGCTTTTAAACCAGCGGGGAGCATAAGCTCATCAGCAGGCTGGTATGTCCTTGACAGATTGGCATTTCATTTCGGCCCCCCATTTTCTAGTTCTGAATTCGACCGCCCCACGGTGCCGGTGTTGGGCTACACTGAGTTTTCTACTGTGCGCGCTCTTGACCCGTTAGTGAATGCTCTTTAAAGAAGAGAGGAGAAACAAAGGCCCAGTAGCCTCATGTTCAGAATAAGGTTAAAATAAACTTGGGAGATGTTTCTCGGCATCCCAGAACCAATTAGGCGGGTTACACGGAAGTATTTCTAAAAACAGCAGTACAGTGGAGATAGACTGACAGGTGAGCAGATGGGGGAACCATCAACTCAAATTTATTTCACAGCTTACAACTCAAATGAGCATTCCAAAGTCAGAACAGCTGGCCTTTTATTCTGTAAGCCATTGTCCTTTGCTTTTGCTCATCTCTCAGGAGTATGAGTGGATTATGCTCCAGGGGCAGTCTGTCTGTCGGTCTTTGACTTTGTGGGGGGGCGGGAGTGGGAAATCCTTTGTAGGAGCCAGGCTTCTGATGTAAATCAGATTTTTCTGCAGTGCCTGCTTCTTGCATGGGTTATGAAGTTTCTAGATTCTGCAAATCAATGACATTGACCCTTTGGCTTCTGTTTACGACACTGTATTCTTGACCTACGTGACTGTTACTATCTGATCAGGAATAAATGGAATTTAACCAGATAGCCAAAAAGCAAAATCTTCAGATCTGTAAGAAGAAATAATATAATTTTTTTTAATGTGACAGTGCCTCTAAAAATGACAGTGGCCTTGCGTTTCTGCTCATAAGTCATTCTGGAATCTTCGTGAAGTTGGAGACTGTCCCATGCAAACAAGTTTCAAGCAACAGGGATGTCCTGAAATTGGGAAGGGTTCTGTTTTGTTCATCATGGTCCTTTTGTGGGGTCCTGTGGTGACCGGACAGGCAGAGAAGCCGTATTCTCGGGCTGAAAGGAGGGCTCGAGACTGGCCGGTGGAGATTTCGTTCCAGTACCGGCATCGAATTGAACCTTCTGCCCAGCTGCAGGGAGAGCATTAATACCACTCATTAGGGCCTGTGCCTCCAAGCTTCCCTCCCAATGGCAGAGTCACTGGCAGAATATATTTTTCTCCAAAGTGTTTGTTTTCATTGTTGCCCTTTAAAAATAATGAGTTCATTCTATTCCCTCGCAAGGAAAGTTACTCTAGACTGCTTTGAAATTGTATATCTTTTGTCAGGCGTATTTCTGCGATGGTTCCATAGCTTTGTGAGCCGAGGAACCCTACCCGGCCTCTCTTAAAGCTCCTGACCAAGCGGCCTCAGACTGGATACATATAATCGTCCAGCATAGTTGACCCTTATATTGTTACCCTTGACCAGGTAGAAGTCATGCAGGTTTCAGGTGACCCTATCATGTGACCAGAGGTCACGGGTCAGCAGCTCCTAAATGTTGAGCTGTCAAGGTAGCCCATTCATCACTGTCATTACGGCACTGACAAGCCGACAAATGGACCTGGGGATGAAATTGTTCTCAACCCTCCACCCCCTGGGTTTATACCCCAGCAGTGGGCCAGGCAGTCTCACGTATTAAGTGGTTCCCCTGGCCCGGCAGAGTCCCTGGAGGAAGGACTCCAACAAGAGACCTGTCCTATGTGCCCGACCCCAGGAAGTCACCTGTCACCTGTTGCTTACTTAGGGGGCCAGATCTTGTGTCTGCAAGAGCCAGCTCTGAGTCTGGCGTCCTCTGAAATGGATATGGATATAACATGAGTTCTTTATTGGCCCACGTGTCGCCCCTCCGTGCCCCACTTCAGCATCGTTGTGGTCCTTTGTGGCATATTAATGTGGCGCAGTGTTCTCGCAAACTGGCCTGAAGAGTCACGCGTGAAAATTCATACTGACCAGACCCTCCTCTCTGAAGGGTCTGACCTGGGTCTAAGCACCTTTGGAAAACCATATTTTTAACAAAGGCCGAAAGTGATCCTTTTGGTGTTGGTATTTTGGAAAAGTGCAAAGATCTTGAAGTTTGGAGTCAGGCAATTTTGCCAAATCCTGACTCTGTCCTTTGTTTGGCTGTGAAATCTTGGATGAATTAGTTAATCTTCTGGGCCTCAGTTTCCCTTTGGAGGACCAATGTTAATTTAAATAGCTGTATAAAGTACGTGGTACTTGTTATTTGTTACTGGCTCTTTGTAATGTCTTTGTTCGCATTGCTACTATCCCTCTGATCTGAGAAGAAATGACACTGGAGGAGCATTGGCACAAGATAGAATTTCTTCTATCGTTCTCTCCCACAGCAGCAAACACGATCTGAAGTTTTTAGACAAGGAGAGGGTAAGGAGATGTGAGGGTTACACAGTGTCACTGCATGGATTGGAGGAGACAGCAGACATTGGCAGTAGAAAGGGAAAGGGCATGGCACTCCTGGGCCTGAAAGAAAGCATGACCATGGCCTTGAGCCGTTCCATCACCAAAATGTATCTCTGATTTTTATACCAGCAAGAGGCTCTTGTGTCCCATGTCTCTTCATCTCCTAACCTCCTGCAGGTACTAACTGGTCACCTTTATCCTTACCCCTGAGTCTTCTCCTCTTTGGTGAGGCTTTGCCATTGGCCAGAGGAGCTCTTAGCAGTGATTAGAGTGGAAAGAAGCCTTGGTTTGATGAGCCAGAGGGATGGGGAAACCCTTATCAAAGGAAATTTCTCCATGGAGTCCCGAGTTAGAACTCTAAATGTTTTGTGTGGTTTGTTTTTCAAACATAACCAAATCAACAGAATAAAACCCAAAACCCTGATAATCATGGTTATTGGGCTATAATAGTATATTACTGTGCTCTTACAGAGAAATCATAGGTAGTAGAAGAATTGGGAATCACGAAAACCACGGTTTATATGGAAAATGCCTTTTGAGTTCCAAACAAAGGTGGAGAACACAAGTCATTTCCAGGAGCTGGGCTGTGTCCTGTGCTGTTCCCTTCTCTTCCCAGTGTGTATACGGTATGGACCCCAGCGCGGTGTTCCATGAATATGCCGACTGACTGACTAAGACATAAACAGCAGGCTTATCCACGCTGAATGGCACAACAGTTTCTGGAAAAATGGCTAGATGGCCATGTGGCTTGATGGCGTGGCATTCACAAGCATGTTGGAGATACTTGATTCTTAACACACCTCAGCAGACTATGCTCTTAGGCTCTTCACATCTTTCCTGAAGTGTAAACTCCAGATAGATTCTTACATAACTAGAAGTTAAGCCAAGCCTTCTCTCTCAAGTGGTCATGGTTGAAAAATACTACCGACTAAAAACGTACATTGACCTGGAAAAAAAAAAAAAAAAAAAAAAGCTGACCCGTGGGCCAAAGTTTGGCTTTTCCTCACTCTGATGTGTGCTGTCTTTACTAATCTGGAAACATTAACATGTGGTACAGAGGCAAGAGGTTAAAAGCCTTTCAGAGAGAAAGTGAACACGTCCTTTGTTGAAATTCATTTAGCCATTGGATTTGCTTAGTAGTTCTGCAGTGGGTAAACTGAGTTCTAGCAATTTAAGAAGCCGATTTTCTAAAGCCAGCTTTGTCAAGGTAGAGTGTTACGGTAGATACGACAGGGCTGCTGTTTGTTTTCAGAGAGGCCCACAGTGCCGTGATGGCCACAACAGAAGGTCGGAGAAGACAAATTATAAATGGGTTAGCTCACTTCTCTTGAAAGGACTTGGCGCGTCAAGTGGAGGTTATTAGAAACTGGACTACATACTCTTCTTACCACTGACGAAGACAGATTATTTGGAGCAAAGCGTAGTGAGACCATGAGAAACAGCCCAGTGAGGAGTGGCCACTGACTCAAGGTCCGATCTAAAATGTCACGTTCAAGGTAGACCTCAAGGAGAGTCAATGACGTGTGCAAATCCCCAAGTTTGTACATAAAGTACCCGTCAGGGATTTAGATGGGACAGTATATGAAAAATACGTGGGTTTGAACACGAGAATCCCCCTGTGGGAAAAGATGCTCTCATGGTCCCAGAGAGAATGGGAAAAACAGAGAAACTCCGTCCCCTCTGTTGGTCTCCTGCTTCCTCCAAGGCCTAAAAGCCCATAGCAGAGCTGGTTGCCCCCATTATCTCATTATTTCCCGCTGTTTCCATGCTGATCCCGCCAGCTGGGTTTTGCAACTAAATGTAGATTTGACGTGAGGCCATACCAGTGTGGGCTGCATGAGGGAGGCCTCCGAGGCCTTCCATGCTGGCTTGTGTGGTTAGAGGGAATGCGTTCTGCTGGGGCTGGTAGCCTAAGACAGACTCCTGCTCACCAGCCAGAGTGACCGTCAGCTCCTCATTGTAAATTACAATTCTGGAGAAGACTCTGACTTGAAGAGAAGTGCACTTTTTATAGTTCACTGGGTATTTTCTGGTGAAGTTGTGAGTTTAAATCACTCCAGTCTTTAGAAGCACGAGCTCTTTCATTTTTACTTCTAAGCGTTACGAGCGCCTGTGGCCAGCATTGCATAATCAGCCGGGTTTTAAAAACAGGACCCGTGTCTGTACAGAGAGGAAAGGGATATTGAGACATAATTATACATTTGTGCGGTATTTTACCTATTTTAAAGGACTTTTATGGACATATTTGATTTTATCTTTGCATAACCCGGTGAAGCAGAGAACCATTGGCTTCATGTAACAGCGGAGGAAAGGAAGAGGTTGAGCGATTTTTCTCAAGGTCACCCCGGGAATATAATTAGAGACAGTTTATGCCCCTAAAAGATGAACATGTGTCTTTCATTTCTCCAGACCGTAGATGCTTATGCCGTAAGAAACGCCAAGTCGTCAGAGCGCAAAGGAAGCTTTGTCAGTAGTTTGCTGTGAAAATAGTTCTAGAACTTGAAGGAAAAAAAAAAAGTTTTTCTCTTCCTTTTCCCTAAAATGGTGTGGAATCTCCTGGATATCTAAATGTGTCAAGAACAGCTAAACAGTCAGGGAACGGGGCCCGTTTTAGTCCCAAAAGAAGCGTGTGAGATTGATGGAACGTGCTAGAAGGGGAAGCCAGCTGGATGCCCAGGCCAGGCCCAGACCTTGCTCCCACACACCCCCCCTGATCAACCATGGGTAAGGCAGCCCTCACTCGAAATGGGGATCAAATACCCACCTCACCTGTCTCTCTCAGATTGTAAAAAATCAAATTAAGGCAGTGCTGTATATTCAGCGTCTTTTGTTTAAACAGCTACAAAATATAATTGTTTTAAGCAGGAGTTACTCTTTGCTCTCCTGTTTCCCATTAAAGAACTCCCTCTCTGGAGTTTTTCTCTTGTCTCCTCAACAGGGTTTGCCTGGTAATATGTCCCTATGAAGTTCTCGGAATTCTGTTTTTTTGTTTTTTTGGTTTTTTTTAAGCTTGCTTATCTTGATGATTCTCTTAGTAAGCATCCTCTCTCTTGAAATCTTTATCACGTCACCAAGAGTTATGGAAATGTTACCTGTCCTCCTTTATTTGTTGCAAAATTTAAGGACAAGGAGGAAGACCGTATATGTTTTCTTAAAATCAATGGCCAGCACATTACTGTAAAACCTATTGATTAAAAACACAAAGTATAATGTTAGTCATTTAGTCTGTGAAGTGGTGCAATAAGGGAAGAAATTTATCCTTTGACTTTTGCATTAACCTTTTATTGACTGCTTGCATACCCATAATTAACACACACTTTAGCTAAAGTGGTTAATTTTAGCATGGCGACCAGTGTTCACTAATGTGGCCGCCATCCTGATCGCCCAGATACACGTGTGGCCCTTAGGGAAATCCGGGGCGCAGAGGCACCATGTGAGTCACACCTGTGGGGAGAGAAAAGGGACCAGCCTGCTACCGGGCCAGCCAATGGGACACCTGTCAGTTGCTTCCCGTTAGGACACCAGGTCATTTAGGGAGAACCATTCCTACGTAGCCAGAGTTTTGGGGGGTTGGTTCATACAGTTCTTGGAATCTCGGAATAATGTGAATTTGGGAGGGAGAGAGATGACCTGTATATTATTTTCCTTTTCTCCCTCTGTAATGCTTCATGAAAGGGGCAGGGCTTTCTGGGTAGATCCAAGTCTATTTGCTAGCCAGAGAAGCATGGAAAATAGGATTTGCTTTAGGATGGGAATACAGAGGACAAGATTGAAAGGTAAAAAGAGAACTTTCTTACTGTTAGGTGGGTCCGGAATGATCTGCTGTCCTAGGGAACACTGAGTTTAGGAGAATTTTTTTTGTAACTTTCTTGAGAAAAGTCATCCAGCTGTGGTCATTGAAACTGGCTTGTTTGCATGCAGAGACCTATTTGGAAAACACCAGCACACCCTTGTTTTCTGGATAGGAATTTGTCCCAAATAGAAATACAATTGGAACCAAAATCAAAAGCCAGTATTTTCCGGCTTTCATACCCAGATGATCCCTGCACACATTCTGCTGTGTCAGCAGCGGCATCTCAATTTGGAGGCAGGACCATCCACATATCCTTGGCAGGCAGGCCCGTGGCAACAGACGTTGTAGTAAAAAGCAGGGAAGTAACTGACAGGTGGGGAGCATGGCCAGCATGTCAGCCAGGCCTCTTTGGTTGCAAGTGACAGGAAAACCTAACTCAATCATGGCTATGGAACTAAAAAATTCTTTTTTTTTTTAAGATTTTTTTTTTTAATATATTTGTTTAACAGTCAGAGATCACAGGCAGGCAGAGAGAGAGGGGGAAGCAGGCTCCCCGCTGAGCAGAGAGCCCGATGCGGGGCTCGATCCCAGGACCCTGAGATCATGACCTGAACCGAAGGCAGAGGCTTTAACCCACTGAGCCACCCAGGTGCCCCAAGGAACTAAAAAATTCTAAGCATGCCTGACTTCAGGTGAGGATTGATCCAGCTACAAACAATATTGCCTAGGACCCAGCCCCTTGCTGCACCAAGCAAAATGACTGTGGCTCTCCCAGACAGTGCATCCTGATAGCTCACGGGAGATAAGAAAGGCTTTTCCCACAGCTCCCACATCAGTCCTCTGGTTTTGCTCTCGCTCTTGCCCTAGATCAGGTCATATGCCTCCCCCAAAACCTCTTCCTGTAGCTGGGAGAGTGGGAAATACTCATTAGGCTGAGCTGGCTGTAGCAGGGGAGCCAATCCCACCCAAACCACGTGGCCAGGCACGGAGAGGGGATGGATTTCCCTACCGGAAAATTACAGCCCTCTTGGTAGGGACAGTAGGGATAGACAGCCTGCAAATGTGTGCCACGGTCAGCATTCCTAAAACATGACCTAAGAGAACTTAGGGCCCCTTTATCTTGCAAGGAACTGTAGAGTCTGTGTGCTAAGAAACAATCTGACTTTCTTCCCTGTAAATGCCAAATCAGTCTGGAAGAGCCACCTGTTCAAAAGTCCGACAACGGCACCTTTTACTAATTCTAGGTCTTCGGGAGCAACAGTTGAGTCTTTTTGAGTCGGAGCATTTGAATCTGTCTCTGGGAGGCTGTAGGAGCTTGACTACCTAAGCCTCAGCGTCCAGGCCTATCATGTGGTGTGGGACTCAGACGCAGGCGCAGTGTGATTCGAGCCAGAAAGAGTGGCTTCCGTATCTCTACAGGGATGACAGGCAGCTCTAGTCTTGGCATTATCATCTGTCCGTCACTAGTCCTCGTGGTAGAAATAACGGTGGCAATGATAATATTTAATATCTGTTGAGTGCTTACTCTGTGCCAGGTGCTGTTCTAAGCACCCTGCATGTATGTATTCATTTATCCTTCCCAACACCCCGTGAATACTGTTATTCCCATCATCCTCCTCATCATCATCCTCACTCCCACCGGACAGGGAGTTGAGGCTCCGCTCAGCAAGGGTGAGAAACCAGCCTGAGATGTCCTTTCCCCACACAGCAGCAGGTCCCAAGTTCGCCACGACGCTTCAACCTCCCTCCTGCCCCATCCTAGGAGATGAGCCAAAAGGAGGCAGAATGAGTGATTTGAGCAAGAGGAATTGAAACTGAAAAGGGGCGGGGCACCTGGTGGCTCAGTCGGTTAAGGCTCTGCCTTTGACTTAGGTCATGATCCTGGGGTCCCAGGATCGAGACCCATGTCAGGCTCCCTCCACACTCAGCGGGTAGCCTGTTTCTCCCTCTCCCTCTGCCCCTCCCATGCTTGTGCTTTCTCTGGCTGTTTCTCTCAAATAAAAAAAATCTTAAAAAAAAAAAAAAAAGGAAAGAAAGAAACTGAAAAGGGGCTACGCCTTCAAGCCATCCTCAATCCCTTCTCTTTCGGTTCTGCAATCTGGCATGATATGGAACCAGACACTAGGATTTGAAACAGGGGGTGGCCATCTTCCCCCGTAGGTAAGGCATCACCCGAAATAATGAGTCCTCTGCTGGGGCCCCGTCACTACCTTTCAGTAGATTTCCTTTTGGAAATCAGCAAGGAACATGGGGCATTAAAAGAAGTTTGAAAGTGACCTTGAAAGCTGTGAATTCAGAGCAGGAAGAGACCCCCACAAAGGGTTCTCCCTCCAGCCCAGAGGGAAACCAGTGACAGTAGCCAGCCCCTTAGCCTCTCAGGTCCTGCATGGAAAGAAGTCATTCCCACACCAGCCTGGCCCTTCTTTGGGGGGCAGGAAATCACAGAGCAGCTGGACCCAGAGGAAAAGCTCGGGGTTGGGGTGGGGGCGTATACAACAGGGCATAAGCAAACCTCTGTGGCAGGCTTTCCTATTTTTAATACTTTCTCAAAGCGATGGGGCAAACCCATCTGACAGGTGAAAAAGCATCTCTATTGACTTTTTACAAACCTGATGATATTCTAGGTGGATCGACACTTATCATAGGCCTTTAATCTGCCAGCCGGGATAATGTGTGCGCAGATAATTTATCCGCTGAGAGGTTGAGCTGCTCAATTTGGAATAACTTTCCCTACCTAGTAAATTGAGCATTACCCTGTGATTTCGAAGCAGAGAGAAAGCACAATTTGAAAAGCTTTGCCAAGTTCCTTTGTAATTAGTCGCAGCTCCCCCTGAATGTTAATTTCCCTCCCTCCCCTTCCTGTGATTTAGAGACTGTCTCTGGAACCACAGAGACGCAGCCTTAACACCAGGGCAGCAAGAGGCACCGTCCCCAACACCTATCACCAGGTCGTCTGCAGAACACACCCTCTGTTCTTCGGCTCTGTGTGGGGCTTATCAGTGCAAACAGTTTAATATTTATGCTAAGAGGATTGTCAAAAGCAGCTTCTGTTGCTTTAATTCTTGTTTTAAATAAATAATGAGAACATTTAAACACATTACTCTTCTTGGGGCCCTGAGGTCAGCTAATCTTATTATTTATGAAGTGATGTGGTACATAATAGTACTTAGTGCATGTTAACAGACGCTATTATCAGGGTCTGACGCGGAGAGCTGAAGATATATTGGAATGTTATGTGTAATGTACGACGGATTGAGTGCAGAGGATGCCGGTAGAGCAATTAACCACACGAGAAAATAGGTATAAAGTTGAAGTATGTTTTCCCGTGGGGATCCCCTCACCATTAATAATTCCCCAGAGAAGAGGATGTCTTTTCGTTAGGAACCTTCCCTACCATCAGGCTCGGACATAGGATCGGGATAGTCTGTCCTTTGATGTCTTCAGAGTTCGTCCTCCACAGGAGATGGATCGTGGCGGTGGCCACTTTTGAATTGATTTCGAGAACAATGTGGAGAAGCTGGGCGTGGGGAAGAACTCGTACATCTCTTTCTGGTGTACTCCTACTATTTCTTCCGGTACACAGGCTTCCACCGCCGTGTCCTCCAAGGGAGTAGGGAAACTGTTCATTTCTTATCGCCATTTGTGTTTCATTCTCTCTGATCCTCATTTTTTCAGACGAATAAAGCTAAAGCCACTGAGCTTTCCCTGACCAATTTTAAATAAGCTGGTCTCTCTGAGAGGTCGATGCCTGCCAAGCTGGGGATGATGCCGCCCCAACTTTTTTCCTACAAGGCTATAATTTAGTTGCATATGATAATTAATTTCTCTACTATTGATGAATAATCCATTTAATAAAAACTGTGATTTAAGTGTTTTCCTTAGGGAGTAACTCTGGCTAGCCTTTTAATTTAATTTTGTGGAAGTTTTCCCCACCTATTCATCAGTGGAAATGATTATTAACCTCTATTTGCATATATCCTTATAAATCCGTCTCTCCTTGGAGTGCCTTTCTCTGGGCACAGCAAGCTGGGACACTTGTGAATCTCTAGAATCTCCAAAGTCAATCCCGGCCCGTAATATTGTTTAATCTATTCTTGGACGTTTTAATGCAGTAAATTCAATTTAATCTTTCCCAGTAATCTAGTAATACATCGAAATCCCACAAACATTTAAATCTGATAATGGCTTAATCACACACTTTAAATAACAGTTGAGATAATGAAAAAATAATTCACCGTTTTAAAGGCAGAGTAACTGAATTTCCCTGGTGATTGGCTTCTGTGAAGCCACTAGAGATAATACGAAGCTGGGAATCGAAAAAAGAAAAAGAAGTTCCAACGCTATGAGGAACAGCTCTTCTGTCTTCTGAACACCTGCTTTGTGCCCGGTGAGCGCCGCCTTTCATTTCATCCTTACCACCACCTCGAAGCACTGTCTTCGCAGTGCTTGGCGGTGTCGTTCCAAAATGCCCGTGAATTTGGGTCTTTCCGGAATTTCTTCGCCTGGGTTAATTGCCTCTTCCTACTCTTCCAGGTGCCAGTCCCAGATTGCCCGAACCTTACCTGTGGATCAGAAGCCAGAATGTCGGCCGTACTGGGAAAAGGATGACCCTTCGATGCCTCTGCCATTCGATCTCACAGACATCGTTTCAGAACTCAGAGGTCTGCTTCTGGAAGGAAAACCATAGAAGGAGCACAAGTCTTAGGTGGAGGAGGAAAAGATATTTTTGGCTTCCTTCCTCCAGCCTTGCCGTGGGCTTGGGCAAGGGCAGTATGGGTAGACTTGATTTTAGATTTTAGAACCTGGGTCCCTTTAGAAAGAGTAGGGAATGAAGCCCATGAATGTTAAAATGTTTAAAAATGGCACAGTGTTAGAATCTGATTTGGTACGAAACAAGAACCTGCCCTCCCCCCCGAATACTATTCCCCACTTGGATTTTTCACGGGAGCCATTTCAGCTCCCAAGGGCCCAGGCAGCAGGGGTGAGCCCAGTCTATGGCCGAGCCCAACCCACTTTCCACCTTCCCCAGCCTTTTCAGAAACTCTAGAGTAGAAGGCTGCAAAGTCATTCTAGGGAAGACAGAACCTGGATACTGGCCCCCCTCCATTTCTTACCACGCCCTCTAGAGGCTGTGCTGTCCAATATGGTAGCCCCTAGCTGGGTGTGGCTTCTTAAATCCATTTTCCATCATAATAAAAATTCCGTACCTCAGCTGCTTAATAGCCACACGTGTCTAGTGACTAGTGTATTGGGCAAAACAGATGCAGAACATTTTCCTCATCGTGGAAAGTCCTGTTGGATAACACTTCTATAAAAAGTTTGAGAGCAGGAAATTCTCTTCTCCACTTGTCTGTAGCCGCCATCCCCATGCACAAAAGGAATGAAAAGAGAAGAGTGTCACTGAAGAGAAGCCACTGTCTCTTCTGTAAAAGCCTGAGTTATGAGTTCTGTACTCTGCCCCCTGGGAATGAGGAGGTGTTGGAAATTAAAATACACTTGACATCTGTCATTGAGAAGGATCCCTGAGCTTATGAAAGAGATGCAGCCCTGTTGGCATTGCTTCGTGGATTTAGCCCACACGTGCATTTTTCTGGAATTCTCCCATCCATATGTAATGACAGGTGGGCTCGAGGCCTGAGGAGCCCCAGTGCCCCATCCTGATGACATCTGTCCATTAGAGAGGCGATGTATAGTAGATGTTTAAAACCTGGGCTCTGGCTTTAGAGTGCACTGGCTCTGTGACTTTTGGCGTTTCACTTTGCCTCAGTCTCCTGATCCGTATGATGGGGATACTAAAGGCACCAACTCACAAGGTGAAGAGTAAAGGGACTAACCTAGCTACAGGTGTAGAACAACTCCTGACAAGTAGTTAGATACCCAGTAAATATTAGTATTTTTCTGTATCTGTAAGCTGACCTGATGTAGACGTTGTCCCCTCCTTCCTCTGTCCTCGTGCCGATTTTGTCTCGTGACGCCATGATCTCATCCCTCCCTTTCTGGCTTGGCTCCTGCCCTGTGGTGACCCCAGAAATCGTGGGAGTAGTTCACCCCTCGCCCCAACCCGGGACCTTCTCTTGTAGTGGTTTGCCGTAGTTTGGGAGCTGAAGAACTCTTGTGCTCATTGAGAGACTCTCTCCTGCCCTGAGACTCTCTGGGTTCAAGGTGGCGTTCACGTCCACGTTGCTAACCGCCGAAGCGCCGCGTTACGCAGAGCGGCCAGGGTTTCATGGTCTGGAGACTCGGTTCTCTCAGACCACAGATGAATTCCCCGATGTCCTTAGGCCTCATCGGGAAGAGAGAGAGGAAGTGCGGCCCGCTGGGCTGTCGCAGAGATGACATGAGCTCCGGGACGAAGGGAGCGTGCGGCCACATCGCCTCCGCTGTTGTATTTGGTGCCCGTGCGTGTTCCATGTTCCGTTTCCTGAGGTGCTGATATTTCAGAATTGGGAGGTTTCCTATAAAATAAAAACACGTGTGTTCTCCTTAGAATTCAGAACATCTAGCAGCCCTCGGCCTCCGTCCTGGCATGGTGACGAGCTAGGTAGTGTCTCCTCGCATTCGGGCGGGACGGGAGCCCTCCATGGCCCCTGGTGCTCCCTGTTGTCATTTATCAGCACCCGGCGGACAGCACCCCGCACCTGCTTGCTTGCACCCCTATGTTAGAATAGGTAATCATGTTTAGTGCTTTCCCCGATGTGTGTGTGTTACTCTTGAGCTCTGTTTGTGGCCTACTTGTAGTAATGTGTCTTGTACATCATAAAACATTCATACACAATAAAATTATTAAAAGGCTAAGACAAGAAATTGAGAGAAGGTCCTGCTTGTCTCTGCTTGCACGCTGGTGGGTGGGCCTGCTTGCTTGGCTCAGCTGGGGCTAGGTGGAGATGGTTCTCGAAGACCTCCAGATGGGCCCAGGTGGTGCACCACCATGGTGGGAGAAACCACTACCTACAGTGAATCCCAAAGGTGAGATCTCGTTTTCGCCGAAGAAATGTTGGCTTTCAGCAAGCATGGGCTCGGTGCGTGTGGGGATGATGTGTGCTGTGCGGGAAGCCGTCGTGAAGGGGGTTGCAGGGGGCCAGTGGCCGTCAACTCAGTTTCTGAAGAGCCAAAGGAAGGCCCATTGCCCCTGAGAGCTAGAGGAGGACTTCCCTGGGAACACGGGCCATGTGTGGGGTTGAGGGAGTGGGCAGCCTGGTCCGTGGACCACCCCGAGTCAGTAGACCCCACCCCCGCTTCCTGCCTGGCTTCCTGGCCCCCTGGTTCTAGCGATCTGGGGAGCTCCCTGTGCACTAAGATGCTCCTGACTCCCCCTCCCTTCTGCCCTCGCACAAACCTTGCTTGACCACCTGGCCCCATTCAGCGGGCTTGGGACAGACAGCAGACCAGCGACTCAATAACAAGATGGTTTCAGACAGTTTTAAGTGCCAGAAGGGAGCCCACTGGGTGAGTGGGGGGTGGGACACGGTGTCACTGGGGACTGACTCAGATCAGGTCAGGGAAAGCAGAGGTGATGGGGAAGAGCTTTCCAGGATAGGGAACAGCGGGCACGAAGGTCCTGAGGCAGGAAAGTGCAGCAGGCAGGTGCCCCCTCAAGAATACCAGCGGCCGTGGCGGGAGCAGGGAAACAGGGAGTGGGAGGGACACATGGGGGGGCGCAGGGCAGGGGGGGGCAGGGCATAGGTCTGGTTCCAGACCCCTGAGAAACACCCATGGGTTCTGCGTGGGGTGGTGTTGCCATCTTCTCTGGACTCTCGGGAGTCTCTCAAAGAGCAGATGGTCCGTCCAAAGGCACAGTGTTCTCACTGGGACTCCCACGCCCTGGCCAAGATCTTGGGTTGGGGAGGATGTGCTGGGGGCCCCCCCGGGTACGTGAGGGGGCACCCCGCCCTGCTGCCTCACCCAAGCGGCTCTTGCGGCCGCAGCCTCCCCGACCGGGGAGCTCACTAGACAGAAAAGAGCAGGGTCGTGGCATCGCTTGTGACACAATTTTAGTAATAAGCTTCTAAATCCATCACCAGCTGAATTGAGGGAGGCTGGGAATGAGAGTCCATAGGCCCTATTTAATGGACACCCGACCTTCAGGAGAAGGGTTTTTGCGTGTTTCAGGGGAAGGGTATTTTTGAATGCAACTGATTTTTGTTTTTTGTGGGGTTTTTTTTCCCCCCCTGTTCTAGTTAAGGCTGATTTTACCACTGGGCAAATTGCATACATTTGGATCCATGCCATGCTAAATACTGTTTATTCTGGAGCTCTGTCAGAGGCAAGTGCATGGAAGACAGGGGGATTCTTACTTGAAAAGGCAATTCTCCTCCAAACAGATTGAGCAGGAGAGGAGAGAGCGGGCCAGGAGGTGCTGATGTGGGAATGCCATTTATCCAGTTTGCCTTTGTTACTTTGTGATTAAATGGTATTTTTAATTAAGTCTCATTGAGAGCCATAGGTACCACGGTGGTGAAATCAATTTGACAACCATAAAGGGGGAGGAAAGGCCCAGGAGTGCTGTCGGGAGCGGCTGTGCAGAAGCCGGGCCGCTGCGATGTCGAGGCTGGGGTGGTGAGGGGGAGGGCCTGGAGAGGCACAGGTAATGACTTCCTGCAGGCAGGGACACCTGCGGCTGCTGGGACCCGGAGGCCGGCTTCCCGGCTATCAGGAGAAGGATACACCAGGATCCCTGGTGCTCACCGGAGAGACCCCGATACACTCCTGGGCCAGCTGGGGCCTCTGGGAAAGTGTGCAGGGTCTGATTCCCTGGCTGTCTCTTACCAGGAAGGAGAGAACCTGTCCCCTGCGCCCTGCCTTGTCTCCCTAGCGAAGACGTTCGCGCAGGTTGAAAACTTGTGTCCTCTGCACCCCTATTCTGTTTATCCTGTTAGCATCCATCAGCTTTCCTTCTGATTCCTGGAGGGCAGTCGATGCTCCTGGCTGCCGGCTTCCCCACTTTGAATCCTGGTCCTGTGTGTGACCCTAAGGCTACCATCCTTTCAAACCTTTGTTTTCTTGTCTTCAAAATGGGGATCCTAGTAATGTATGTACCACCTGAGGTTGTTGTGCAGACTTGATACTGTGCATACGGGCGCCTGGGTGGCTCAGTTGGTGAAGCATCTACCTTTGGCTCAGGTCATGATCCCAGGGTTCCGGGATCGAGCCCCGCATTGGGCTCCCTGCTCGGTGGGGAGTCTGTTTCTCCATCTCCCTCTATCCCAGATCAATGAATAAAATCTTAAAAGAAAAAAAGAAATATGCATATTAAGTGCCTGGAGTAATAGGTCTGCAGTGAGGCATGAGCTATAATGTTTATTATCCCAGTTTCCTCTGATAACCGTGGTACCTTTGGGACTTGGGCAAATCCCTTGACCTCTCTGTGCCCTGGTCTTCATGTATGTAACAGGCATGATAGTGACGCCTACCTAGCTCACGGGATCACGCTGTCACCAAAAGCCACGTTAAGTGATTCACATCGTGTCTTGTCCTTCTTGCCGGAATGACATGTGACCGCCTGTATTTTTTCCATTTGCCTCTCTGACTTCTGTTTTTTCCTAGGCAGATGGCATGGAACTTTTTATAAATGAGATCCTATGAAAAATGATTTTCCAGTCCTGCCGTTACTCCAGCGGGATTAGGTCACCCGCTGCAATTTGAGATTTGCTTAAAAAATTCTTGCCATCACCTTCTAATGGATGATCTGTGTACAACAATTGTTTATTGACTCTGAATGTCTGAGCACCAGGGTCAGTCTATTTCAAGGGGAGGGAAGCATTAATTAACTTCCAGCCTGAGACTCAGTGATTCTTTTCCAATGATGCAGTTCATGACTCTGCTTGCATTTACTTTTCATCAGTCCTGAAAGAATCGAGGTAAAATAGTTCCTCCGCACATGTGTGTCAGGCTAAATGGATAACAGCAGATACAGATCTGTTTGCCTGTCTGCACTTGCCTTTAGACAAAATTCATCAATTTTACAAAAGCCACTGACTAAACATGGCACCAAATACAAATGAAGTGGCTTCCAGCACCGGGGGTTTCCTGTTGCTTTTAATCTGGTAAGTGCGGTAGCTTCCTGCGGCTCGATGGGGAGCACTGGCAGAAGCCAACCCTGCTCCACACACGTGGGGACAGGAAGGTCAAGGCCATGCTGCAGGACGTTTAGGAGAAGTCCGGTGATGGTTCTAGACCACGTGCACTCAGAGCCATTCGGACCCGCTTAGTTAGTGACCAATCTCGCTCAGCCCCTCCGCAGCCTTGCTCGGTGTTAAAGACGAAGGACACACCAGGCATCAGCATGCCCTTTAGCGGTGCCCGTTTTCAAGGGCATCCTGCGTGCCCTTCCCAGCCTCTGGGACAAGGAGAGGGTCATCAAGGAGAATCAAACCCCACGGGAGAAGCTTCTCCGCACTGCGTGGCTCACCCCCATGGAGACGGCCTTGGAGGGACTTGGGAATGCTGAAGCCCGTGCATGTGCAAGGAAGCAAGATGATGATGAGTTTGTGAGATCGGTTGGCTTTGGGTGGGCAACGGAAGGATGGGCGTACATTTTCATCAGCTCTCCTCTGGCCAGGCCAGCGTAATGCAGCAGCGGCCCACGGCTCATAGTGGAGACCTCCCACAAGGATGCGAGGGAATGTGAACGGCTTCCACACAACAGTAGTCTTGAAGAACAGTGTCAAGGCCCCTTTTGAAATTGTTTCAGACCCCAGGGTGCCTGGGTGGCTCCGTCAGTTCAGCAGTTAAGCATCTGGCTCTTGACCTCAGCTCAGGTCTTGATCTCAGGGTTGTGAGTTCAAGACCCGCGTTGGGCTCCATGCCCAGCATGGGGTCTACTTAAAAAAGAAAAATCCGTTTTCAGACCCCATGCACCCTGCAAAAATGCCCATCCTTGCAGATAGGTATGTTCAGCACTGGGGCACCAAGATGGAGGGAGCATGCTTTCTTTAGCTTCTTTGTAAAACGGCCATTCCCCCATTGAAAACCCTGCTCATCCTTCCCAATAGGGAATCCCGTTCTTCACTTCGGAGCATGCACAGTTAACCTCGCAACCCCAGAGCCCCCAAAGGGCTGACTCAGTTTCTCAGAGCAGCTCAAGCTATCCCTCGGACTTCGTCCAACATGGAAAACTGGACCTCTGGTCACCCTCCTGTCCCCATGCCCCCCAACACTTCAGACAGAGATTTCCAGTTGATTACGCCTTGATTAGAGCCAGTGAAAAAAGCAGGCCAGGTATATAAGATTCCCATTGTCCTCCCCTCCGCGGCTCCCGACCAGGGTCAGGCAGAGCGGCCCCTCCGTGAACATTTAAACAATCAAGCGCTGTTTACCATGGACGTTTGGTTTTCTTTTCTCGAAATCAAAACAGAGTTTAGTAGGCAGCGTATTTCATACATGCCTCTTGATCAATGGAATGATCTGTCAGAAGCCATTAGAGCCCCCATTAGCTTGAATGCATTCAAAGCTAAACTATTGGATCATTGAAGGGCCACAATGATTGTTTTTAATATACTGTACATTGATTTCTCCCTGTGAGCAGGAACATAAGTTTGAAACTAACTGTGTATGACTAAGGCTTCGTTGGCTGTCTCCAGCCCTCTGTGAGAAGCATGGTTTCACTTCGACCAGAAATGTCTGTGTATAGTTTTTAAAGAGATGCAGACGCTGTTAGATTTCCCAAGGTTTAGACTGGGGCCGGTTGTTATTTTTATTTTTTATTTTATTTTTTTTCCCGAGCTTTCTCCCATTTCTTTGTGCCCGCTAAGTGAGTTGTGCGTGCAGAATGGGAGAGGCAATCCCTGCCAAGGACCTCGAGTGAAAGGCAGTGGGGGAAATTTTTCTGAAAGCATGAAGCCCCAGCTGAGGCCAACACTGAAGTGAATTTGACAGCCTTGGGCCCAGCAGAACTCTGCCCACGCTGAGCAGCAGAAGTGTGGCCGTGTCAGGGGCCTCCTCCCAGGGACACAGCTTGTCGAGCTCAAGGTGGAAGAGGCAGGTGGGGAAGCGAGCGCCGAGGCCCCAGGCCTGCCTTTGGCTGCCATATTGCCAACACTTATGTTGACCCGTCTTGTCTGCCTTAGCCAAACTGGATCCTTCGAACACCTGATCCCTTCTCAAATACCAGACTCTGTGCTAGGTCAGGGCACAAGGTCCTTGCCCTGTTCTTAACCAGCATTTCGTATCTCAGCACCTTGCTCATTTTAATACAGAGCCTGAGACTAAGGAGTTTGGCCAATAAAGAAGCCATACTTACCACATTTGCAAAGGCCTGTCTCCCAAAGAGAAGGGTTTACACATCGCACCCATTTTACAGATGGACCACTTGAAGCCCAGATGGGAGAAATTAAATTATTTAAGGTGAATTCTAGAAACTGGTTTTCAAGTTCCTGGCATGTACTAAGATTTGGGGAAAAAAATGAACATTCTTGGACCCACCTTCCAAATAAACCCAAATACACTGAAGAAGAAGAAAGTTCCAGATGGCTCACAGAAACAAGAGCAGCCTACCCCTCCAATTCTAGCCCAGAAAGGAAGAAACGTTGTAAGTCTAGAAAATAGTGTGTGTGCTATTCATCCTTTTTCCCTGGGGCCCCAAAGGTCCACAAAAGTTTGGTGATTTTGAACTCCTCAAACAGACCCTTGGAATTCATGGTGCAGGATATTAAAATCAAAGAGGCCAAGATGGGTCACCCCAAACACACAGGTAAAGCCAAAGTCACAATAGTAAAATCTAGAGCAGAAGTCAGCAAACTGTAGCCTTACGGGCAAATCTGGCCCATCCCTTGTTTTTATAAAGTGAAGTTGTGTGGGAAAAGAAGCATTCAAGGACAGCTCTCTCAAGGGGCAAAACAGAATCAGGGGCCAAATTCAAGGCTCTTCCTGAATTAAAGACACCTGCGTGATGCAGGGAGGGGGAGGCCATCCCGAGGGGGTGGACAGCGGCCCCTCGGCTTTCAGGTTCCGGAATCTCATCTCCACAGAGAACAAGCCTGCAGGGGAATGAGCACAGCCCGATCATCCAAGTAGAACTGCTGACCAGACAGGCAAAGGATCTTGTCTGAGTGCTCCCGAGCCCTCTGCTCCTACAGTGGGGCTATATTATTCTCATGCCTCATTAGGAGAGGTGGTGATCTGGTCTATGATTTTTTTTTTTTCTTCCAGGATGGGGGGCAGGAGGGGGCTGTCTCTGCTCTCCAACTTATGGGGCTGACTAATGTGTCACTCTAAAGGGTCAGGAGAACCCGGCTGTTCTACTGCGGTTGACTTCCTACCCAGGAGCCTCTGGCTCTTAGCGTTTCCGTGAAGGAATTCCAAATTGCTCATTTACGTTCCAACGTGAGAGTTGAGACCAAGTTGCTGAGTGGCCGTTGATGTATTCTCCATCCCTTGATGTTCCACTCTTTCTGCCTCCGGAAAGCCTCCGTGCAGAGCCTCTGTTGTCCAGAGTTGTCGAAAGTGCCCTGGGTCCGTCCTTCTCTTGCCTCCTGGATCCTTGACTCACTTGTAAGTCACTCCATGTGGGTCATTTTTGCTTGTTCCATCACCAGAGAGTTTAGGACTATGATTTTATTTGGCCAATTTAGCTTCTGTAGTGGACTACCAAATACTAGAGGGCAGAGCTCACAGCATCAAATCTTCTGTTTTAGTGCATTCCATCAGACTCAGAATAACACTCCCTACCCCTGGATCAGTTCACATTTATTGGCTACCAATGACAACAGCGATCTTTTTATTTGACACGTAGGAAGGACTCCGTGAACACTCGTCGGCCGGCTGTTAGAGTGAGATGAATCTGGCCATCACTCACCCTGGGGTAGCATCTCTCCTAGAACTTTCTGGCCACAGCTTGCAACCTACCCCTAACCTCTCCCTCCAGCTTCACCTCCCCAAACTTGCTTCTCACCTTTGTTCCTGCCACACCTGATGTGGTGCAACGTCCTGAATCTCTCTGTGGCTCTGGTGCCATGTCTTAGGTAGGCTGGCCATGAGCCCAGGGGACCTCAGCAGCAGACCAAAGAACAAAACTGAGCATGGGTAGGGCCAGGGAGAATTTGGCCAGCAACGTTCATGTCCCAAAGAGGCATTTGATCAAGGAGACACTGGGAGGAT